CAAATATCAGCTGCTCATAGGTGGATGAATTTATCTCTGGATTCTCGATTCTGTTCATTGGTCTATGTATCTGTTGTTGTACCAGTACCAGGCTGTTTTGACTACTGTACCAGTATAATAGGTTCTTAAAATTCTCTCTTTATCTTTGGTTTTGGCAAGTTTAATTATAATATGTCTTAGTGACTTTCTTTTGGGCTCTACCTTATGTGGGGTTCAGTGAGCATCTTGGATAGATATCTTATCATCCTTCACTGTATCAGGGAAGTTTTCTGCCAGCAAATCTTCAACAATTCTCTCTGTATTTCCTGTTATCCCCCCCTGTTCTGGTACTCCAATCACTCATAGGTTATTCTTCTTGATAGAGTCCCACATAATTCTTAGGGTTTCTTATTTTTTTAAAAGCTTTTATCTGATTTTTCCTCAGATAAGTTGGTGTCAAGGGCTTTATCTTCAGTCTCACTAATTCTGACTTCTATTGCCTGAATTCTGCTCTATGACTTTCTATTGAGTTGTCTAATTCTGAAATTTTATTGTTAAATCTTCCGGATTTCTGATTTCTGTCTCTCTATGGATTCTTTCAGCCTGTTAAATTTGTCATTATGCTCTTGAATAACCTTCTTAAGATCCTCTATTGCTTTGTCTGTATGTTCCTTAGCTTGGTCTGTGTTTTGTCTGATCTCCTTCCTGACCTCTTGAAGAATTCTGTATATTAATCTTTTGTATTTTACCTCCGGTAATTCCAAGAAATTCCCTTCCTCTGGAGAATTTCTTGATTCTTTATTTTGGGAGCTTGCTGAAGCCATCATGGTCTACCTCTTTATGTGATTTGATATTAACTGTTGTCTCCAAGCCATCAATAAGTTATTATATTTATTTATTTTATGTTCGCTTACTTTGTCCTAGCTTCTTGTTTTGTTTTGTTTTGATATGCCCAAATAGGCTGCTCATGTGAGCTAGTTTGATTATTGGCACCTTTGAAGCTCTAACGTCCTGTCACCAGGTGGTTAGAGCTGTTCTTAGGTATGTGAGTTCAGGAGTCTCTTTACTTTTCTTGTATGAATTCTGGTCAGGTGTCTAGGTAGTTGGTCACCAAGTGTGTGGTGCAGGCTCTCAGCTACAGTCCTAGACAGGCATGGGTGATTGGTGTAGGCACAGGTAGCTGGCTGTAGTAGGGGGTCATGCACTGAGCAAGGCAGGGTGCTGTCTGCTGCCCCTGAGTGTCTGGGAGGAAAGCGTGTCTTGTTCCCTAGAGCGTGTAGGTGGATGAATTTTGCAGCCAGACTATGGGCACCCGGTGCTATTGGCTGTAAGGACTAGGGGGCACCACTTATCTTGGACTCCTGTCACGAATGGCTAGTTGACGTAGGTGGAGCCACCAGTCCTTAGGCCCCTGATGTGGATGGGTAAGGACCCTGCTTAATGGGCAGAGCAGTGTCACATGTCACGAACCTGCCACTTCACCATATAGCTGAAACAGTTGCAGTTAGACTTATAACTGCATACGTGATATATACCCTATTGTACCGTGGTAATGAGGGCCTGCGCTGTTGAAATGGGCCTACGCAGGTCTATGCGGGGGTGAAAGGCATTCAGACTCCATAGAACCCTATGCCTGTGCCTAGGCAAAGAAGCTGTGCCTACCCTCGGTTCCTGGCTTAGGGGAGCCAGAGGATTATTTTTCCCATTTGTTGATTTGTTCACTCTCCAAGGCTGGGAGAATGGCTCAGGGCATGTGACAGGTCCTAGTTCTGGCCCAGGGGACTTTGCAGTCACTGTAGCCTGCCCAGGACTGGTGCAGAGCCGGGGTGGGGGAGGTAAATGGGAGAGAGGTTTTTCCCCAAAGGTGGAGTTTTTTGATCCACATAGTAGGCCAGACGCAAGTACCTATCTTTTGCCAATTAATCACTGCTTTTCACTGGTTCTGCATGCCTGAGTAGACTCTCTACCACTGGGTCTCTCCTGATGTGGAAAACGCCTCCAGAGCACCACTGCTTGCCTCACTGCGCACACAAGCCTATCTGGCCTGAAGGGCGCCGGCTCCTACCGGGTCAACTCTGGCAACTCCTCACTGCTTCCAAACCATCTCTCCCTCCCCCTGCCACTCAGTCCAATTTCTCAACTTTGCCTATGATGTTCAGGGCTCCTAGATTGTCATATATAATCGATTACTTGTTTTTTCAGGTCTTTGTTGTAAGAGGGACCACAGGAAGCATCTGACTACTCCACCATCTTGGCCCCGCCTCCCAAAACATTTCTTAAACAGCTTTCTAACCATCCTACTTATTTTAACTTATCCTGTGTTGTCCCCACTTCAGAGAAATCTAGTGCTACCATTGCAGAGCTTATTGAAGATTCTTTTTCTTTCCTCTCTCCCTTCCTCCCTCTCTCTCTCTTCCCTCCCTCCCTCCCTTCTGTCTTTCTTGCTTTCTTTCTTATTGGTAAATAGAGTTGGTCTTCTCCGTTTTCTCCAGTGCTGGCTTAGGATTCAGCTTTCTCAGTTCTGCTAAGTCATTTAAATTTATCCATGGCCATGTTGTTGTTGTTGTTGGGTGCTGTTGATTGGTTTTCCACTCATAGCAACTCTATGTGACAGAGTAGAACTGCCCCATAGGGTTTTCTTGGCTGTAATCCTTTTTTTTTTTTTTTTTTTAATTTTTTTGTTGTACTTTAGATGAAGGTTTACAGAACAAATAGTTTCTCGTTAAACAGTCAGTACACATATTGTTTTATGACATTGGTTAACAACCCCATGACATGTCAACACTCTGCCTTCTTGACCTTGAGGACCTTTTTTTTGGTGAAAATATACATAGCCAAGGTTACACCATTTTGAAAGTTTCTACGTGTACAATTCAGTGACATTGATTACATTCTTCCAGTTGTGCTGCTATTCTCACTATCCTTTTCCAAATTATTCCATCACCATTATCTTCAACTCACTGTCCCCTAGGCTTCCCATCAAACCTTTTGAGTTGCTATTGTCAATTTGATCTCACATAGATAATTCTTTTTTGTGTGTGTACCTTAGATGAAGGTTTGCAGAACAAATAGTTTCTCACTAAACAGTACACATATTGCCCTGTGACAATGGTTAACAATCCCATGAAATGTCAGCACTGCCCTTCTCAACCTTGGTTTCCCTATCACCAGCTTTCCTGTCCCCTCTTGCCTTCTACTCCTTGTCCCAGGACTGCTGTGCCTCATTAGTCCTGTTTTGTTTTATGAGGCTGTCCAATCCCCAGCTGAATGGTGAACTTCAGGAGGGGCTTCACCACTGAGCTAAAAGGGTATCTGGGGGCCATACTCTCAGGGTTTCTCCAGTCTGTCAAGCCAGTAAATCTGGTCTTTTTTTGTGAGTTAGAATTCCATTCTACATCCTTTTCCAGCTTTGTCCAGGACCCTCTATTGTGATCCCGGTCAGAGCAGTCAGTGGTGGTAGCGGGCACCATCTAGCTGTACTGGACTCAGTCTGGTGGAGGCCATGGTAGCTGTGGTTCATTAGTCCTTTGGACTAATCTTTTCCTTGTGTCTTGTTCTCTTCATTCTCCCTTGCTCCCAAAGGGGTGAGACCAGTGGAGTATCTTAGATGGCTGCTCACAGGGTTTTCAGACCCCAGACGCTACTCACCAAGGTAGAATGTAGAACATTGTGTTTATAAATTGTGTTATGCCAATTGAGCTAGATGTTCCCCGAGACCATGGTCCCCACATTGGCTGTAATCTTTATGGAAGCCAATCGCCAAGTCTTTCTCCCGTGGAGCTGCTAGCTGGGTAGGTTCAAACTACTGACCTTTGAGTTAGCTGCTAAGCGCCTGACCATTGTACCACCAGGGCTCCTTTGCAAAGGCCATAGACTTAGATTAAAACATCATTCTTAAAACATGACACACTTGCTTAGCTAGTTAATTGGTTACTTTAACTTTTGTAATCAGCATCTCTTAACCCACTACCCAAACCAAAGGCTAGGTTCTTGACATTACCGACATCTAACCACATATCCCTCTCGATCAACCATCCTTTCACCTTTTTGCGCCTGAGGTAATTCATCATCATCCTGAAAGTTCATCATTTCCTTTTTATATAGTTTTATTGTGTTTCCATGTATCCCTAAAAAGTATATATTTTTATTCTAGTTCCTTTCAGCTTTATAGAAATGGTATCATGTTGTATGTAATCTACTGGGACTTATATTTTTCACTTAATATTATGTATTACTAAGATTCATCAGTATTGGTACCTGTCACTGTTGCTTATTTGTTTCGATTACCATGTAATATTCCATTTTGTGGGTATACTTCATTTGCCAGCCAGCTTCGAAAATTTCACTGCCAGTGTCTCCTCTTCTCTTCTCTTCTTCCTTGTGGTTATGCCTTTTAAAAAAAAATCCATTTACTGTAGTATTAATGGGGTTTTAAGAGGGAAGGAAATTAGATGTGTGTATTCAATCCATGATTTTTACCTGGGTTACCTAAGTGATTTTTTTAAATAATTTTGACTATATGAGATATTTTTACCTCTCTAACTTTTAGAACCTAAGCCTTGTATAAAGTGTGACTCCACTGCCCACTCTCTAAACCTTGGTTATTAGTATTAATAGATAACATCTAGTAATGGACTTCTGTGGTCATCTCGTCCAACTTTCTACCTAGTCAAGGAATGTTTCTGGTCAGGAAGCCCTACATAGTGCTCCTTGACCGCTGGGGTCCCTTTCCATCATTATAACTGAAAGAACGATGTTGATATTTTAGTTAGCTTTTGTAGCCTTATTGCAATTAAATGTGGGATTTCCAGTAGACATTTTTAAATATTGAAAATAGGCCCCTTTGAGGAAATCTAAAAAAAAGAAAAAAAAACCATTGCCATCAAGTAGATTCAGACTCATAGAGGAAATCTAGGAGTCTAGAAATCCAGGTGAAGGCTGCAGTTCTGAGCACCCTACAACACAACAGAAGTTTAAACCTTTTCTTACTTATTTTTTTTCTTTTTTCTTTTCCATTGCAGAGATGTGATCAAGTGGCTGGTCAAAGTAGTAACTGAAGATGAATTGACTCAGCCCCCAAATGGAAATCAGACCTCTTCAGAAACGGGAATCTTGAAAGCCAGCAGTAGCCAGCCTTCCCCACAAGCCGACTTGACAAAGAACACCAATCAGCTGTAAGGAGCAGACAAAAATTGTCTCCCCCAGGGACTACAGGGATTTCAAGTTTTAGAGAACAGCACTACTCCCTAAGAGCCACTTCCTCAAAATTAACAAGCTCTTATAACATAGGCTGATTCTATTAAAGGCTAGAATAATTTGATAAAGACTAAATGTCTTAATTCCAGATGTAGAACAAAAATAGGTACTTTCCTCCCTAAATGAATAGGACTTCACTGTGTGAATACACATTCAAAAATAGGAGTGAAACAAAAGCTAGAGCCCTCCCTTTCCTGGATTCCAAGAGACAGTAATGGGTGACAGCTCCTTATCACGTCAGGTGTCCACTGACAGCAGAGAAGAAAGGTAGTGGGTGTTCTGGTGGACTCTAGTCCTCAAGGACCTGGATCTGTCTCTTCCAGTCTAGGGAGAAGAACAGCAGTTCAGTCTGTAGGCACCAACAGGTTATAACAGCAATGGCTCAAACCAGGGTTAGCTCAGGCTGCCCTGGGAAGAGGTTCATGGCATTTCTTTTACAGGGTTAAGAGTGTTCTTGACAGTTTTTTTGAGAGATGCCAGGATTTTAGGGGCTTGGGCAGTCCTTGCACAAGTGACCTACTATGCCATGTCAAACATATTGTTAAAATATGACATGTGAAATGTTTCAAATATAACATTCATGCCTAAAATTCAGAATGCTGTATTATCTGTTTGCACCAACCTGGTTTTCATATCAGGCCTATGGGCTTCAATTAATTTAGGAAACGGCCAGCAGATTTCCTGAAAATGGAGCCCTTTCTTCCATCACAAATAATACATGTTAGAAAAGGCTGACATCAATAAGACCAGAGGGTCAACAGCTATTTTAAGGCATAAATGAGAAGGTTGAGGGGCAGAGAGGTTAAAATAACGAGAATGTTGACACAGTGTGAAGAATGTAACCAATGTCACTGATCATTATGTCTAGAAGCTGTGGAATGGGAGCGGGTTTTGCTATGAACATTTTCACCAAAAATAAAATTAAGTTAAGAAAAAGAAAAGGCTGACATCAGGCCAGACTCACCTTCCTGATGAAAGGTGAGATTCCTTTGGGGTTATCCAGATTCCTTTGCCACACCAGCCTGGCGCTCTCCCACAGTTAGGTCTGATGGGAGAGGGTCAGGTTCCACCACCGAGAGTTCTGAGACTGAACTTAGTAAGAGACTGCTGTGAAGAAACCAGTAACAGGAGAAAACTATATGGCAAATATGTATTTTCTCCTGATTCAAAGAAATTCAAATAATTTTCATTCATTCTGCATCTCAGTGTCTTCATCTATAAAATAGGGAAGTTATAGATTAGATGATCCTTAAAGTTCTCTTGGCCCTTAAGACTGTGTAGTTCTATTTTATGAATTTAAGAGCAGCTTGCTTTGCAGCTCAACCCTAGGTTCTGAGCTGAGCTGGTAAAAGGGCTTCAGGTAGATGAAATTGATAAATAAAGTGTGCTAATGGCTTCAGTAGTTCTCCCTGACCTATAGTGTGTGCTTTACAAGTTTCTCCTTTAGTAGTCTCTATTTTTGATGTACACCAGTAGGGGCCTCCTCCCAGCCCTCACGTGGCTGCTTGTCAGCCCCTCCCACTCATGTGTGTTCTGTGTTCTGGACTCAGGATTGTCTGCCAGCTGCAGAGGATGCTGTCCATAGCCGTGGAGGTGGACAGGACCCCCACCTGCAGCTCTAATAAAATTGCTGAGATGATGTTTGGGTTTGTGCTGGACATTCCTGAGAGGAGTCAGAGGTGAGTCTTGGTTTTCTTTTTGTTTTTTATTTAAGTGATTTTTCTTAAGACAACTTCCCTATCCATCCCAGCTGTTAAGAAACAGAATTTCAAAGAGAAAATTTCAAATAATAGTTAAATTGGAAAGAAAGAGGTAGAGGGATTATTCTTGTCTCTTTAACCTTTTGAGAGAAGGTTCTCAACTAATTGTTATTATTGCAACTAAGACATGATTTCTTGGGAAGAAGCAGGATACCCTAAATAAAGCCTAAATTTTTCTGCCTTATCCATTTGGCTAACAACCTTACTCATCCTTCAAGATTCAGCGGTTAAGTACCACTGCGGTACAATGGCTCACTTTTATATGGCCTTTCTAGCCATCGTCTTCTAAATCCCACCAAATGATTGAGTGGGACTATGTAAATAAGGTGCTTGTGACCCACGAAGGGATTGAACAGCTTGTTAATAATGCAAATAAGGTGCATGGCACCCTTGTGGGGGTGGGCCAGGCAAATAAGGTGTATGGAACCCTAATGAGGGGATTGGTCAGTTTTGTCATCCTGCTAGGCATAAAATGAGCCAACCCAGAGATGGAAAGAGGGGACCTCACTACCACCAAGAAAAAGAGACAGGAGTGGAGCGTGTCCTTTGGACCCAGGGTCCTTGCGCCAAGAACCTCCTAGACCCAGGAGACAGAGAGAGAGAGAGAGCTGTAACACTGGAGACAGCATGAGATGGTGAGAAGTGGCAGCATAGAAATGGCAGCAGCAGAACCAGGAGAACAGCGTGAGACAGCACGTTGGGCTTTCCGGCCCACAGAAGAAGGTGGCTATGGTGAGCGTGCCAACCCACAGAGCAAGAGAGCTAAGTACCTTTGGGCAGGAGGCTTCCTGGCGGAGTAGGGTGCCCCCAGGCACTTATTGGTGGCGCTAAAGAGCTTTGTAACATTTGCCCAAGCAGGGCAGAGGCCAGGCCACGGGGTGAAGAGCTAGAGAGAGGCCTGCCTGCAGGCATGGCTGAGAAGAGGCTATCCTGATTGAAAAACTGTAACCTGAGTTTTTCCTGATCCTGAATTTAACCTGTTATTTCCCTAATAAACCCCATAACTGTGAGTATGGTCTGTGAGTTCTGTGCGGCCATTGCAATGAATTATCAAACCCAGCAGAGAAGTAGAGAGTGCCGTGGGAGGGACGGCTAGTGTCAGAATTGGTAAGAAGGTTGAAGGGTGGAAGTATGTTCGACCTCCTCCTGATAGGAATCAGCTTTGGACTGATGCATGCTTATCTTGATTCTCCTCCCCCTTATGAAGTTAAACAAGGAGGTTGGATGCTGCCACGCCACCATTTTTACAACTACCCTCTCCTCTGACCCTCAACCATAAGGGTTCGCCTAAGTAAAGTGTTCACTTAAAAGCTTGGTGGGTAAATGAAATAGGAATGTCTGATATTAGGAGGAGGAGAGGTGACCCAAGAATGAGCAGGTTTGAAACCTGTAGAATGAACCCAGAGAGTAAGAATAAGAAATTCAGTTTCTCCAAGCATGAATTAGTGAAGGATTTCTAGGAAGAGATAAATAGAGTCCTTGAACCAATAACTTTAGAATCCAGAAACATAAAAATAAACTGGAATGAATTCATGAGCAGTTGCTGGTATAGGAAATAACTATGAGGGAGCCATTGTGCAGTGGTGACCCTTGGGGAAATTATGTTGTATGTTTGTCTGCAGTGCATCTCCACCTGCTCCACGTCTGCCTCCCATCCCATTCCCTAAGCTCCCAGCTGGCAGTGAAGACTGCTCTTGTCACAACTGGACCAAAGCAAAAGCAAAGAAGTTTCTTGGTTACATCCAAACACTTGGAGGGACAGAGTAGCTGGGGCTGGGGCCTGGGGACCATAGTTTTGGGGGACATCTAGGTCAATTGGCATAACATAGTTTATTAAGAAAATGTTGTACATCCCACTTTGGTCAGTGGCATCTGGGTTCTTAAAAGCTTGTGAGCGGCCATCTAAGATACATCAGTTGGTCCCATCCCACTCAGAGCAAAGGAGAATGAAGAAAACCAAAGACACAAGGAAAATACTAGCCCAAAGGACTAAAGGACCAAATCAACCAGAGACTCCACCAGCCTGAGACCAGAAGAACTCTGCCAATGAACTATCTGAGAACTACCACCAGTGACCGCCCTGACAGGGAGCACAACAGAGTCCCAGAAAGAGCAGGAGAAAAATGTAGAACAGAACTCAAATTCACATAAAAAGACCAGACTTAACGGTCTGACAGAGACTGGAGGAACCCCTGAAACTATGGCCCTCGGACGCACTGTTAACCCAAAACTGAAACCATTCACGAAGCCCACTCTTCAGACAGATTGTTGTTGTTAAGTACCATCTGTCATTTCTATCACCAAGGCCATATTTTCCAAATACCGATCCTTCTTCTTTTTTTCCAACTCAAAGATTAGACAGGAGTATAAAACCAAAAGTAATACACGTGAGGAATGCCCTTCTTAGTTCAGTCAGATATACGAGACCAAATGGGCAGCTCCTGTCCAAAAGCAGGGTGAGAAGGCAGGAAGGGACAGGAACCAGTCAAATGTACACAGGGAACCCCGGGGTGGAAGCGGGGGGTACTGTGCTGTCACATTGTAGGGATTGCAACTAGTGTCACAAAACAATATGTGTATAAATTTTTGAATGAGAAATTAACTTGAGCTGTAAACTTTCACCTGAAGCACAATTAAAAAAAAAAAAAAAAAAGACTACTCTTGTGCAACTCCAGTTCCTTCTATTAGAATAAAATTTCATGCCAAGTAGTATTGTAATAAGGGCCTAATTCAAATATCCTGCTAAGATTAAAGCAAACAACCACCCCTATATTAATTATCTCAATTATTTTCATGAAATAGCCCTGTTTAACAAATGAGAAAAAGAGGCTCAAAGAGGTGAATTAACTAACACAAGGTTACACAGCTAATCAGATTTAGAACCCAAGTTTAAACCTAGGTCTGCTTAAGCCCAAATTCAGTGTTTAAAGGAGGCAGTATGTTGTAGTGGTCAGACAGAAGGAAGTGCATATAAATGCCATGCTTGTCTTACCACTCTGTCAGGAGTATTGCATTTGTGTCTAACTCCCATATCATTCATTCATTCATTTCAGCCTCTGGTGAAAGACGGGAACCCAAGAAATAGGTAGCTATAAACAAATTTAGACTTAAAATAGACAAAAATAATTTTTAAAAAACTTAGCCCTATTTTAAAACTCTCTCAGAAGAGGCAGATTAGCAACCCACCAAATTATACTAGAAGACCCTTTATTTGGCCTTTTCCTTGGTTTATTTTGGAGCCCTGCTGGCACCGTAGTTAAGAGCTATGGTTGCTAACCGAAAGGTCGGTAGTTTGAATCCACCAGCCGCTCCTTGGAAACCCTATGGAGCAGTTCTGCTGTGTCCTATAAGGTTGCTGGGAGTCAGAATCGACCCGAGGGCCACGAGTTTGGGGTTTTTTTGTTTGTTTGTTTTAATTTTTTAACTTTAGGTATAATTTACATACAATTAAATTATACAAACTAATTTACCTAAGTATCATTTGATGAATTTTGACAAATGCATATATCCATGTGACCCGTGATCCTATCACTTTCCAATAATTCATTGATAGTTTATGGAAATCCTGCAACCTTGCTAAATTCACTTATTCTAATAGGATTTTTTTGTGATTTCCTTAGGATTTTCTACATACACAATCATGTCATCTACAAATACAGTGTAACATCTTCCTTTCCAGTTTACATGCCTTTTACTTCTTTTTCCTCCCTGATTTTATAGGCTAGTACCTCCAATTGAATGTTAAAGAAGTAGTGAGAGCAGACATCCCTGCCTCATTCCTGATCTTAGCAGGGGAAACATTCAGTCTGACCATTAAGTGTGATATTAGCTGTAGATGTTTCATAGGTGTCCTTTGTTGGATAGTGGAAATTTCCTTCTATTTCTAGCTTATTGAGTGTTTTTTATGAAGAATGGATATTGAGTTTTGTCAGATATGTTTTCTGCTTTTATTGAGATAACCATATGATTTTTCTTTATTCTGCTGATATAGTGAATTACATTGATTAGTTTCCTAATGTCAAACAAACCTCGTTGTTGTTAGGTAAGCAGCCCTACATACAACAGGACGAAACACTGCCCGGTCCTGCATCATCCTCACAATTGTTGCTATGTTTAAGCCCGTTATTTGCAGCCACTGTGTCAATCTGTCTCGTTGAGGGTCTTCTTTTTTGCTGACCCTTTACTTTACCAAGCATAATGGCCTTCTCCACGGACTGGCCCCTCCTGATAACATTGTCCAAAGTACATGAGATGAAGTCTTGCCATCTTCCCCTCTAAGCAGCATTCTGGCTCTACTTCCAAGAGAGATTTGCTTGTTCTTCTGGCAGTCCATGTATATTCAGTATTCTTCACCAACACCATAATTCAAAGGCATCAATTCTTCGGTCTTTCTTATTCATTGTCCAGCTTTTGCATTCATATGAGGTGATTGAAAATACCATGGTGTCGTAGGCTGGGTTCTCTGGAGAAGCAAAACCAGTAAAGCATATAAATATATATACAGAGAGATTTATATCAAGGAAACAGCTCACGTGATTATAGAGGCTAGAACATCCCAAGTGCATGGATTAGGATAGAAGCTTCTCTCGATTCATGTAGCCACAGGGGCTGGTGAACCCAAGATTGGCAGTTTGAAAAGCAGGACTCTGCTCACAGGCTGTGAATATTGATGAATCCCAGGATCAGCAGATAAGCTGCTAGCTCAAGTCCCAAGAATCGGAGGTTAAACGAACAGGACGCAGCCACATGATCCAGAGCAGCAAAAAGCCAGAATGCCTGCTTATATTCAGATGCAGGCCACACCCCCAGGGAAACTCCCTTTCAACTGATTGGCCACTCACAGCATATTCAGTTATGGGAATGATCACATATAGACACTGAGAATCATGGCCCAGCCAAGCTGACACACAGTCGTAACCATCACACATGGCTTGTGTCAGGGGCACCTTAGGCCTCAAGGTGACATCTTTGCCTTTTAACACTTTAAAGAGGTCCTTTGCAGCAGATTTGCCCAATGCAATATGTCGTTTCATGTCTTGACTGCTGCTTCCATGGGAGTCAATTGTGGATCGAAGTAAAATGAATTTCTTTACAACTTTAGTATTGTCTCTATTTATCACAATGTTGCTTATTGGTCCAGTGGTGAGGATTTTTGTTTTCTTTATATTGAGGTGTAATTCATACTGAAGGCTGTAGTCATTGCTCTTCATCAGTAAATGCTTCAAGTCCTCTTTGCTTTCAGCAAGCAAGATTATGTCATCTGCATATCACAGGTTGTTAATGAGTCTTCTTTCAATCCTGATGCTGCATTCTTCTTCATATAGTCCAGCTTCTCAGATTTGCTAAGCATACAGATTGAATAAGTATGGTGAAAGGATACAACCCTGCTGCACACCTATCCTGACTTTAAACTACGCAGTATCCATTTGTTCTGTTTGAACAACTGCCTCTTGGTTTATGTACAGGTTCCTCATGAGAACAATTAAATATTCTGGAATTCCTATTGTTTGCAATGTTATCCATAATTTGTTATGGTCCACACAGTCAAATGCCTTTGCATAGTCAATAAAACACAGGTAAACATCTTTCTGGCATTCTCTGCTTCCAGCCGAGATGCATCTGACATCAGCAATGATATTCCTCACTCCATGCCCTCTTCTGAATCCGGCTTGAATTCCTGGCAATTCCGTATCAGTGTACATACTCATTAATTACAAAGTCTTTAAAGTGGAGACACCACATTAATCAAGTGATCAAAGTTAATAACACCACTAATGAGACAAATTGGCATCATGTGCCTCTTGATATGATACTCTGAGAATAACAAAACATCATTTCTGCAGTACTTCTCCCCTCTCTCCTTTTGTATCTCCAGAGCACCACTGGCGCCTCACATGCATGTACACTTGCCCTGCACTTTACTTAGGTTCCTGTTGCATACCCTTTGCCCCTGTTCGATTATCACCTTTTTGAGAGCAATGCTCTCTTTTATCTATCTTAACATTCCTTGTTGTGACAAACTGTATCTGGTATATTATGCTGTTGATGTTAGCTGCTGTTGAGTCGGTCCCCGACTCATGGTGACCCCATGCAGAACAGAATCAGATCGTTGTGATTCATAGGGTTTTCACTGGCCGTTTGGAAAATCTGCAAGCTCCCTGACCTTTTCTTTGCAGTGCCCAGCCTACTGTTAAGCCTATCCAGTGATTTTTTTTTTCCACCTCAGATACTGTATTTTTTAGATCTAGAGTTTCCATTTGGTTCATTTTTATAGTTTATATTTCTCTTTGCTAAGAATTCCCATCTAGACATTCATTATGTACCTCTTATTTAAAAAAATATATATTGAACATATTTATAATAACTATTTTAAAGTCCTTGTCTGCTAACTCCAACTTCTGTGTCACTTCTTGGTCTGTTTTTATGGATATTTTTCTCCTCATTATACATCACATTCTCCTCATTTTTCCCTTGTCTAGTAATTTTTATTGTGTGTTGAACATTGTGGGTGCTACATTGTTGAGAGTCTGGATTTTGTTGTCTTTCTTTAAGAGTACTGAGTTTTGTTCTGGCAGGCAGTTAATTTTTTGAAAGATTAGCTTTTTGCTGTTGAACTTTGTTTTTAGGATTTGTTAGGGTGGTTCTAATGCAGCTCTTATAGGGCTAGAGTCATGAAGGTTAGTCTTTCTGGAGTCTCAGCTGAATACCCAAGATGTTCGGTGAGATCTCTGCACTCTGGCTCATTGGAACTCCATTGTCTCTCAGCATTGTGCAATCTCCAGAATCTCCATTTGGCCCACAGCCCCATAATAGCTGTTCCCAAACAGGCTTTTGGAGCTCTTCCGTGCACATGTGCCAAGGGCTCCACTATACACATTTCTTGAGTCCCTCTTCTGTGATACAAATTCCAGCCACCTCAGCTTCCTGAACCCCAATTTCTGTTTGCTCTGCCCAACAAGCCTGTTGCTCTCTGCCTGGGGCCCACTTTCCTTTGCCTTAGTTATGAAGTGCCCCCAGAAAGAAAGCTGGGATAAATATGGAACTGACCACCTTTGTTTCTCTTCTCTCAAGAATCATGGTCCTGTGTAGTATGTTGTCCAATACCTGAAAAAAAAAAAAAATGTTTCATATATTTTGCTCAGATTTGTAGTTGTTTATAATAGGAGGGTAAGGCTAATACCAGCTACTCTCTTAAGGCTGGAACTGGAAGCAGGCCTTCCCCTGTACCTTGTTTTTAAAGTCTGAATTTAAATTGTTAGGAATAATTCTACCTTTAGTTCCTACTATGTCCAATACATTGAATTACCTACTTGTCCTGTGTAGATCTCTTGAGTTTGCCATTTGTGATTATAAAATCAGGGTAAATGCAAGCCGTGGAATAAAAATTGGAAGGGAAAATTCAGTTTGAAATAAAAGGTTATTGAATAGGAAAACTGTCTTGTGAGAGTAATAGGCCAAATGCAGAGTAGAAACTAGACTTAAGAAGAATCTGAGGACTATCTTACAAATGTAGTAATTTGGAGTTCTTTGCATTAAAGAAGAAAATCTGTCAGAGAAGATGTAGCAAAGGATGCACTTTCAAGAGATAAAATTGATTTTTACAAATATTTTAGACTGAAAACTTTTGAATGCTAAGAAACAAAAGTAAAAAAATATTCATTCTGTTTTTTTAACTTTGTTTTTACTCAAATAATATGTGTGTCCAGTGGAAAAATAAAGATGAGAAAAAAGAAAAGAAAATAAATAGGTACTTATTTATCATTTTTATAAATGACAGAGGCACAGAGAAATCTCTTGTTGCAAAGAGGATGCTGCAAAACTGCAAAGGGGCAGGATGTTGTCAGAGAAAGAACCCTGGGATCTGGGGCCAGCTCTGTTACTTGTTCACTAGGCACATCATGCTGTTCCTCCTCGCTCCTTGTCCTTTGTGGATCTCTGAGTTTGCCATTTGTGGATTATAAAACCAGGATAAATGCAAGCCCTGGAATAAAAATTGTAATCGAAAATACAGTTTGAAATAAAAGATTATTGAATAGGAAAACTGTCTTATGAAAGTAATGGGCCAAATGCAGAGTAGAAATTAGACCTAAGAATCTGAGGACAATTGTGTCTACTCGTAAGCTATCTGCTTCCCAGGATTGCTGTGACTAGCAAACCTGGCAAGGACAAGCAAACAAACAAAAAGCATCAGGCCGTCCAGAGATGCCCCCATACGTCGGAGACCAAGCACCTTTTTCTGGAAGCCAATGTTGCTTTTAGAACAGGGAGTTTGACTCACTGTCCTAAAGTACAGCTCCAGTTTTGCCAATCCCCTAATCAAAAGCCTCTGAAGGTGCTCTAGCCCACCCTTGCTGGTCAAGTCCTGTATTGGGTAGCGTGACAAAGTCAAGGGCAAGAGAACACCCAAGTCCTAGACTGAAGTTTAAGAAGTCACAGCTGTGTGTTTTTTACTTCTTTGTTTTTGCCCATGTTTTTCCCTCCAGTTGAAATACCATCTGCCTTGAGCCTTCTTTGCTCCTCCTAGCCCACTGTCCCCCATGCTCCCTCTTCCATAAGAAGGCCTTTTCCCATCCCTGACCAGATGAGCCCTCTCTCCTTTGTATCTCCAGAGCACCGCTGGCACCTCACATACATGTACACTTGCCATGAACTTTACTTAGGTTCCTGTTGCATACCCCTTACCCCTGTTCAATTATCACTTTTTTTAGAGCAATACTCTCTTTTATTTCTCTTAATTTTCCTTGTTGTGACAAACTGTATCTGGTACATTATGTTGTTGTTGTTAGCTGCTGTCAAGTTGGTCCTCGACTCATGAGGACCCCATGCACAACGGGTTCGGACCGTTGTGATCCATAGGGTTTTCATTGGCTGATTTTCAGAAGCAGATCTCCAGGCCTTTCTTCCTAGTCTGTCTTAGTCTGGAAACTCCATTGAAACCTTTTCATCATCATAGCAACACGTAAGCTTCCACTGACAGATGGGTGGTAGCTGCAGGTACATTATAGGTGCTCAGAAATATTTGTTCTCATAATTAATTCTCGTAGTTACAGTATGAAGGCATTCTCTTTAACATGTCCTCAACTTGTGTTTTTCAAATGTCAAAGACTTCTCTTTCCTGACAGTTTTTAATTCTTGAACAAATCTATTCCTGTCCATAGGCTTTGTGATTTCGTAGACCTTTCCCTCTTAATCCTTCTTGGCCATCTTTTTTTAGGGCAAATGTAAGGACATCCAGGGGGAAGGTATGGTACATGTTCCTTGAAATAACATTTGCAATGGTTAACTCCCTTTTCCTCTTCTCCACGCAGAGAGATGTTCTTTACTACCATGGAGAGCCACCTTTTGCGCTGCAAAGTGTTAGAAATCATCTTCCTCCACAGCTGTGAGACGCCCACCCGCCTGCCCTTATCTCTGGCCCAGGCCCTCTACTTTCTGAACAATTCCACCTCACTGCTCAAATGTCAGGTACATTTTTTTTCCTGCTTCAATTTCAGTTCAAGAACACCTTTTCCCTAGACCTGCTCACAGGTTTTTTTGCTTGACACACTGCTGTTGGAACATTATATAAAAGTGGCTTAAAAATTGTATAAAACCTTTAACTGGGGAAGGCATTTGTCATCAATTGCTTTTACTATCTCCACAGTCGGATAAAACCCAGTGGCAGACTTGGGATGAGCTGATTGAGCACCTACAGTTTCTGTTGTCCAGTTACCAGCATGTTTTAAGAGGTATGGAGCATTTGTTCACAAATAAGATGCTGTGGGAGGTCTCTCAGTGGACATTATTATGAATTCTAGTTATTCAGGGGATTCTAATTTGTTAGGTTGAGTAAAGCATTGTTCCTTGGTTTTGTAACTTACAAGGAACAAAGAATGACATAGCTGGAGTCAGTGCTATGAGATAGAAGAATTCACGTATTTTTGTTCGGGCTGGAAATACAGAGGTCTTCAGACTTATAAGCTTGTGTAGATAAGCAGAAGGCATCATAGCAGAAAGAGTATTCAGTGATAGCCTGGATAGCCTTTATCAGCTCGCCCTGGCACCTCTCCCTGCCCAGCACTGCATCGTCTTTGTTGCGTCAGTTGCTCACTGACTGTGGACACTTGTGTCTGGTGACGCAGTGCAAATACAGAGCAAATCAGTTGCAAGGTAAAAGTGTATGTCTTGCAAAAGAGGTGAGATTCCCCAAAGTCTGTGAGAGTGGCTCCTCAGAACTGCTCATATCACACGCACAGCCAGTGAACAATGAAGATCTGGGAGAGTTAGACCAGTTCACACTAAGGAGGTGAATACTGGTGAGGATAATGATGGAATAGCTGCTTCAAGTGAGAGTGATTATGTTAACCACGGGTTAACGGAGGCCCTTGGGAAAACCAAAGAACTGATGTACTTCTTAATGACAAGAGGGAAAATAGCCACTTCACTGGGGAGAAACCTAGTGTCCCTGCTGACGTGATGTACTGAGAGGGACTCACCACTGCCCATGTGGTGTTTTCTTGTTTGTTTGTTTTTTAAATAATACTTTACTGTGTTTTGGTGGAAGTTTACATAGCAACTTAGGTTCCCATTTGACAATTTCTACACAAATTATTCAGTAACATTAGTTACGTTTTTTTTTTATTGTGCTTTGGTAAAAGTTTACAGCTCAAGTTAATTTCTCCTACAAAAATTTATACACATATTCTTATGTGACACTAGTTGCAATCCCTATAATGTGACAGCACGTCACATTACATTTTTCACAATGTGTCAGCATTCTCTTTAATTGCATTCTGGTTGTTCCATTTCCAGGACTCTAGTTTCCCTGCCCCCTTGTCTTCTCATCTTTGCTTTAGAGTAATTGTTGACCTTTTGATCTCATATAAATGGTTTTTTTTAATGGAGCACCACACTCATTGGTAAAACACTTTGTTTTGTGTGCCAATCTGTTCTTTCACTAAAAGGAGACCTCAGGGAATAGTTTCAGTTCAAGGTTTAAAGAGTATCTCAGACCAGTAGTAGCAGGGAGTCCGCTAGTCTCAACTAGTCCAGTAAGTCTGGATGTTTTAAGAATTTGAGTTCTGTTCTGCACTTTTCTCCCATTCTGTCAAGGTTCATGTATTGTGGCCCTGACCATGGGGTATTCTTGCCAAAAATACATAACTGAATCTAATTATAGGGAACAGAAAAGCTCAAACTGAGGGACCATCTCCAAAGTAACTGGCCTATCCTCTTCACAAGTACCAATTTCATAAAAACAAAGAAAGCCTGAGGCATTGTTCCAGATTAGAAGAGACTAAAGCACGTGAATTCTAAATCTAATACATGACCCTGGATTAGATTCTGAACTAGGAAAGAAGAAGCTATAAAGTGCATGATTAGGACAGTTGGTGAAATTTGAGGAGATTAAACACCGAAAACCCAAACCCACTTCTATCAAGCCAAGTCGATTCTGACTCATAGGTAATACTATTATGTCTATATTAAATTTCCTATATTTGATAATTACATGGGTTTAAGAAAGTAAGTGTCCTTGGTCTTAGGAAATCCATACTGAAGTATTAAGAAACAAAGGGGCACAGTGTCTGCAATTTATTCTCAAGTAGGAAAAAAAGTATACATGTAAAATTTACCCCCACACAAGCCTGTTGCTGTTGATTTTAGCTCAGTAGTGGCACTTGGGAAGGTACCATAGCCCTTACATGCTCTCAGGCCGGGAACTGAGGAGCTATTGTGGAGATGTGAACAAAGCACTGAATATAAGGACACAAGGCCTGGGTTCAAATCCCAGTCTCACCACTTACTCTGCCTTGGACAGCGAACTTCACGTCTCTAGGCCTCAGTTTTTTTCCTCCTATAGAGCGAGACGGTAATATACAACTTGCCAGACTGATAATGAGTGTGAGAAAAAAGTAGTAAGTGCTCAATCAATGTTAGCTGAGTCTCAGTAAGAGGGCTGTTTGCCTGGCCATGGGTAGGCTGCAAGTGTCTTTTTGTGTTTGAGACTCTTGAAACTAAAACTCAAAGGAGTGCGTTGTCAAGACCACGTATGTGGTTTGTGCATTTTTTAGCACCCTCAAAGAAGGGTACATGTCCTTCTTAGAACAGTGCCCTAAAGGCAAATTCCATGTGCACCTAGCCTCACTGAGGTTTACATAATTGTTTCTTTTGGAGATCTAGGAGAAAGTTTAATATTAAAGCAGCTCATTTTTGTTTAAAGTTCACCTTTAATACTGCTTGTTCATTTCTGTTTTGATTCCAAGGAAGTACACCTTATAAATGGTCATAGGCAAGAGGGACATAAGGTGGACATGGATCCACTCTTATTACAGAATGTAATTATTTTTATGCTTCAACTAACAGAGGGGAAGGCCTCAGACGAGCGTTTACAGGCCAAGAATAAATAAGGGGTGTTCTAATGCACTTTATCCTTAACAGTTTCTCCAGCTTCTCTGAACCTCAAGAGTTGAGAAGGAGGAAAAATATTCAGGACCAGTTGTTTGAAAACATTGTCCCACAAAGAGCACAGCTGAGTGGTACCCTGAAATGGTCCGTGTCCTTGTCAGGCAGTAAGCATTCTACCGGGAGGACACCCTAGTCATCTGTCATGGATTGAATTGTGTCCCCCCAAAATATCTGTCAACTTGGCTAGGTTGTGATTCTCAGTATTGTATGATTGTCTACCATTTTGTCATCTGATGTGATATGAGAGAAGTGAGCAGAGAGACATGGGGACCTCATACCACCAAGAAAGAAGCACCAGGAGCAAAGCACGTCCTTTGGACCGAGGGTTCCTGCGTGGAGAAGCTACTAGTCCAGGGGACGATTGACAAGAAGGACCTTCCTCCAGAGCCGACAGAGAGAGAAAGCCTTCCCCTGGAGCTGGTGCCCTAAATTTGGACTTATGGCCTACTAGACTGTGAGAAAATAAATTTCTCTTTGTTAAGGCCACCCACTTGTGGTATTTGTATTCTAGCAGCACTAGATGACCAAGACATCACCTCTGCCCTCTTCTGGAGTGTCGAGGGCCTTGTTGAGGGAATTCTGAGATCAGCCTGAGTTGTCCACTTCCAAGGATGGGGGGAGGAGGGAAGGAGTCAGAGAGCCCAGGCTTGCCCTTGGTTCAAGGGAACCTCTTAGCATGGACGAAGAGAGGAAGGAAGATAGGTAAATTAACACACACTAGTTTGTCTAATCCATAATATTGTGAAAGTGGGTGTCATCCCCATTTTACAGATGGGAAAACAAAAGTGAGAAAGCAGTAAATGCAGAACCAGAAATCAAACTTAGATCTTGTCTTAGTTATCTAGCGCTACTATGACAGAAATACCACAAGTGGATGGCTTTAACAAAGAGAAATGTATTCTCTCACAGTCTAGGAGGCTAGAAATCCAAATTCAGGGTGCCAGCTCCAGGGGAAGGGTTTCTCTCTGTGTTAGCTCTGGGGGAAGGTCCTTGTTATCAATCTTCCCCAGTCAAAAAGCTTCTCAGCTAAGGGACTCCAGGTCCAAAGGTCGTGCTATTCTCCTGGCTCTCGTTTCTTGGTGGTTTGAGGTCCCCGTGTCTCTCTGCTCACTTCTCTCTTTTATATCTCAAAAGAGATTGACTTAAGACACAACCTAATCTTGTAGATTGAGTTTTGCCTCATTAACATAACTGCCGCCAATCCTGCCTCATTAACATCATAGAAGTAGAATTTACAACACATAGAAAAATCACATCAGATGACAAAATGGTGGACAATCACACAATACTGGGAATCATGGCCTAGCGAAATTGATATACATTTTGGGGGGGACACAATTCAATCTATAACAAGTCTGTTGCCAGAGTTTGTGTGCAATAAAAACAGGAATTACTTTTCAATGAAATTTTACTGGGTGAGATTAGAAGGTGAGAGTCTGAGATGGCTACTCCCCTATGTTCTAAACTCTGTGTACATTGTTAAATTACTTTTGTACAACATACCCTTGATATTGAGGAGAAGTATACCCCGAACCCCATGTTTTGCAAACCTTTCCAGGAGGGCAGGGCAGCCCCACTGAGATAGGGACGCTGGGCTGTCAGTCGAACTCACGTTTTCTGGCTAAGAATCGGTCCCCCACATCCCAGTTTCATGTGACTCAGGTTTGAGCCTCTGCAGAATTACAGATTGCTGTATGTTTTCTTGATGCTTACATTTTGAAACCATGAACCTTCTATCATTTAAATATAATATTTAAAAGAACAAAATGCATGCTTTTCCTGAATACCACTCGGCTAGACAGCTTAGGCAGGCGGCCCACAGAAGTCAGGCACCACTCATACACACAGCCTTCCTGCAAGGGGCCCTGTCAAAGGAAAGAAGACAGGCAGACGCAGGATCAGTTCAATCCATACATTCTTTCAGGCAACAAATTTTTACCGAGGGCATTCTCTGTGCCTGGCCCATGAGGAAATCCTCAGTGAATAAGACCAACACGGCCCCTGCCCTCATTGAGTTTATTGTCTAATGGGGAGATTGACCCAAAGTGATCACATAAGTAGTATATAAATTACCATAGAAATGAATGATATGAAAGAAAGTACACATGGGTACAATAGGAAGACCTATTTTTGGAAGAGTCAGGAAGAACCTCCCTGAAGAAGGGATATTTCAGCTGAGATAGGAAGTATTGGCATAAGCCAGGCAAATAGGGAGGGAAGAGTTTTCCAAGAAGAAGGAACGGCATGTCCAAGGACCTTGAAGTAAGAAGTTGCTTACTGAGTT